CTGTGGTCTTGTTGTTCTCTCATGTAGTCAGCGTACGTTGAGGTATCTAATTTTTGCGACATTAAATGGACGATGAATGGGTCCCAAGTGGAAATTTCAATACCGATGTTGGCGAGCCCGTTCAGGCATTCATTTATGACGTCATGCATTTTTTAAGTTGTAGTGGTCGGGGTGTTGTATTACAGGCAAGATGAGCATGGTTTTGACGAAAGATGTAAACTGAAGACGCCGATTATCGTAGCGCTGGGTGAGTATCTCCCAGCATGAGATGTTGATGCTGAGATGTTGTACTAGTCGCTCAGCTTCTCCTCTCAACTTTTTCTTTGCATCTTTTGTGCCTTGTTGATCGTAGGATTATTATGAATTGCCTCCAAAAAAAGATCTTAGAAAGAAATCCATTGCATGTAGCTACCTGAGAAATCAGGTACATCTATTTTGGGCGCAGATTTTTCATAGTGATTATTTGACCAAATTTTTGTGTTAAGCTCACGTCGTAGCTCATCGTATTTCCCCGCCATAGTGATAACAAGTTATAGTATTAAAGATTGGAGCCTTTGAGTTTTGCTTCCAACTCCCAGTGCTGTTTATCGATAACTTCCCACTTGGACTTCAAAATTGATAGATTGTCTTGTAATTCCCATCTCTCAGTTATAACTTGAATGTCTATTTTAGACATGACACGATCGAGAGCTTTAAAGTTGCATTCTTGCTGCTCTAAGAGCGTTTTGACGCTTGCGTCGGTGGTGCCGTCCAGCATCCCCTTGAGATCGAAATGCACAGACTTGCTTTTGCGTACTTGTAGCAGTAAGTGCTGCATACTTTGTAAAGTAGTTTCATAAAACTCCTTAGTTTTAGTAAAAACATTCCCTGTGAAGTAGTCGATGTTTTTATCTTCAATAGTTTCCACAATAATTTTGTGGCGCAGTTCAAAGTCGATCCATTGATCTTCAAGGGATTGGATTCTACTTAGTAAGTACTCCTCAGTTTTTCTACTCGCTCCATCCTTCTTGTAGTTTGAGCAGAGAGATTTGATGTTATTGAAGCATTGTAGTTGAAGATCCAACATTTTTGTGATGTAGTTTTTCTTCGTACACTAAGACCCGTAGTTTACAGTGACGCTCGGTGACAGTCGTTTCGGGTTCACCCGATCCGCAACACCAGATAAGTTGTAGTTATTATTAAGTTGTAGTTATTAGTTAGTAATTATCCCGTAGTTCACGGCAATAAGTAAGTTGAAGTAGATTATCCCTTGGATTGTCCCGCAGTTTGCGGCGACAGGTGAGTTAGTTAGTTAGCTCGTTAACTTACACAGTCGTGGCGAAACGCGCTGGTTGATACACGACCCGAAAGCAACAAATTTTTTCGCAGCCTCCTTGCATCCAATCTTCGAAAACCGAAACTACAATAAGTAGTACCAGCTTCGAATTTCTCCGTCTTGGAAATGATCGTGGTGAGAGTACGAGTGTAATAGCCCCTGAGCGATATGATATGCGTCTTCTCAATTCACCGGTGAGACACGCTTCTGGGAGGCCGATGAACCGATCGCTACCGCAAAGACAAGACAACTACTCTTTTCTCGAAGGACCATAAAATGTATGGTTTGTAAGGCCACACACTTTTTATAAGTAGATTTGTAGTTAGTTAATGAGTACGCCAAAGAAAATATCACCAAAGTTAAAAGTTTAATAAAAGTAAAATAGTTATAAAGTTAGAGTGGCAAATCTTTCTTTGAGTAGTTGGTGTTTAGAAGGACGGTTGTTGACGTACTGACGATTGTGAAAATGCAATTAATTAAGTCAATTTAAAAACACGTGACGCGCGGCTATAAGTAGGTTGCAGCGTTTACTAAATAAAAATGTGTGGTGTAACCATACATTGCAAGAAATAACAAAACCTTCAAAATGACAGAAGTAAAAAAACTTTTGAAGAAGGACTTCAACATATCACACCTGTAAAATGGAGAAACTGCGTGTCTCATATAATTAAAGAAGAAGACAAAATGCATGGTCTCGACCACATGATCGACAATGTTTCAGACAGATTTCTAATTAATGTCACCGAAAGCGATAGTGATGATTTTTTATCTGATGATGAATAAAAACAAATTATATAATAAGCGATGTTTTTTTTTATTTTCATTACCTACCTATAATTGTTATATTTTATACATCTATCGTTTCAACTACATAATGTATTGAAAATAGAATAGTCTTACAAGTTTCCTCGCAATATTTTCCTTAATGTTTAAAACACTCGGTATTCAGTATAGGTAGATACTATAGGAACATAGTCGTCGAAAACTCGTTGGTATGTACAAAGCACGACTAAAATTCGAACCCCGTACCCGATATCGGCAGTTCGGCACACTAACTATTCACTACAATCAATCGACAATCGAGGCAATTTCATTCATTCAGGAGTTTCTTCAATCATTCACTTTGTCACAGCACTATTTTTATTTCATCAAAAACTGACAACACAGTAAACGTCAGTTGACTTCTAATTAAATTAGAAATTTAAATTAAATTAGAAATCTCTTTAATAAAACTATAATGATAATGTAAATTTTGCAATAATTGCAGTCAGACCAGTTTTAATCAGTTTACATAAATATTTTTAAAAGACGTCTTTTATCTATTGAAATTATTACACTTTAAAATAAAATAACAATAATACTAAAAAACTATGGAGTGTAGAGTAGACTCTACTCTACACTCCATATAAAAAACGAAACATTAGAATTTTTAAATAATGTTAAAAATCTACTTATTTAAACATATAAATGTAAATTATTTATATTGTTTAGTTTATTAGTGAATATATGAAGGCAAAATATACTACCTTTTCCATTTGATGATAGATGATGTTTGCACTGTTTTGATAACTAAATCGGTGTAGTTTCAAATTATTTTACCAAGATTATAACTATATTTTAAACTTTATTTATAAATATGGTATTTGTTTGAAAAACGCCCATCATCCCGCCTAGAACTAAAATATATAACATCTAAAGAAAGGAAAATACTTACCTTAGTATACTACCTTTTTTTTTAAGTTCCGTAATCGGATAAAAAGTAGCCTATAAGTTGCCCCGGGTTACTAAATACCTACACACAAAATTTCATGTAAATCGGTCCAGTATTTTTTGCAAGAATCCGGAATACACAGACAGGCAGTCAGACAAAATTTCTAAAAACCACTGATTTGGACTTGTTTTTTCAAGAATATATTAGAATTACAGACACGACTTTTCTACAGATTTATTATATGTATAGATGATATGCCGTTATAGCACTTTTTGAAAATACGAGTAAATAAGGCTTCTACTTTTATTTGAAATTATCGAAAATTGAATGTGATTCATGGGCAACAACGTTTTTGCCTACCGATCTACCCTTACGAACGTGTGCGTGCGCAGTAAAATCAGTTAAAATAATGTATTTTGAATTTAAAAGATAAAAAGAACAGAATGTTTGAAATTTTTTAATTAGCTTTTCTTCACCATTTGCCTACATTACTTATTCTGAACCTTCTCTACAAATTTGGCCGGTTATTGCAAAATAACCCTGTAAATTATATCGTATTGTATCCTAAATCTTATGTCTTCTGATAGATGGCGCTGTACTGTATCGTTTACACCGGACGTAAAATACCGAGACAGGCTACGGGCAGCAGCTTCAAAGGCACGAGATGTCTGGTACTGGGACCGTCAGTCCGCATTTCAATCGTGACGATTAAGGCAAACCACTTGTTGACATGGGGTAATGGATTATCTTACGCCACGTTCGAACTTGGGTGGTCCCGCGTTCTGGATAATAACATTATAATATGTACAATATTATTTCTACTGTCTATTTTTGTACTGTCTTAGACTATCGCTATGCGCATGTCAAGTCACAATCAAATGAATAGTTACAAGAGAAAACATTAGTCACATCAAAAATCAATGTTGTTCAGATTCTATTATCATAATATTTTTATACATAATCTACACAAGATATATTATTGCAACGCTCTTTTAGCTCTACCAGATGTAACGCTTGTTGTAAGGTGGCGGCAATAGAGAATCTATCAACCCGTTTCGTAAGACGTCTACGGGAAAAGCCAAAAACACTTAGGCATCTCGTATATGCCATATGTAAAATACCCAGAACGACAATGGAGAGCAGTACCAAATGTTCGAAATATCGGTTACTGCCCTCACCTGTGGAAATTATTGCCAAACTTTAATTTTACACGTAGTAGAGTCATGCTGTAGCTATATTGTGGTTGTAGCACGAAAGGGTCGGCTCAATTGGGAAAGGACCACGCTTTTACAGAATACCAGGTTGAAACGCTCGTAGCAGCGTAACTCTGCTGGGTTTTGTATGGTTCTTATTATTGGAAACGAGGCATTCAACTTTAGTTCTCAGGGGTGACAACACATCTGCATTTTGAGTCTTAATCAATGATAAGTGTAGATGTCTATGCGCCACAGCATCCACTTAACATCAGGTGAACTGAGCGCTTGTTTGTCACCATTATCCTTTAAAAAAGTCTATTCTGCACTGGGAGAGTCACATGTCCAGCAGGACAGGACATGTGCCTCTTATGAAGAGAAAGAAGATGTAACCTACCGTGAATCCGATCGGAAGATCGGTTTGAAACATGAAGACAATCACACTAAATCCAGATCAAAAAATTAGTAATTTATATTATCACTCAACTTTTTAGTTCCGTATAGTAGCGGCATATGGTTATCAACTACCCGTGAGTATCATCGAGGTGGACAACAGCATTTTACTCAGAACGAAACAGAACAATAAAATAACTACGATTACCAAACCGTGTTCAGCAATGGACTTGTGATATATTGTAATGATGATGATAATGACAAATATTAGTTTCAATTGAGGTTCGAGCCCATGTCGGTGGTCTTCGCATAATCATGGATTATGGAATCAGTCGTAAATAAATATAAAAGATAAAATCTCATAAGCTAATCGTTACCATTGTTTCAGCCTTCATATACAATTTTCAGTCCGACTTTCATGACGACATTACTGAAACCTGGTGATAGAGAACAGTGCGATTTCTCATGTTTTGAACTTATATACTTGGGTGGCAGCGCTGTGCCAAAGGACCTCTTGGATGAAATCAAGGTAGGTAACATAAAATTAATAAAAGAATTAGCTGCAAAAAGGGTTGAAATGCTTTTTGGCCTGCGATAATCTCTATACTATATAAAAAAGGCAGAATCATTTCATTGTCTCTAGGTATATATATGTTTTATTTTATATATAAATAATATATATATGTATTAAATGAAAGTAATTTTTACCTTTTTAATTCCCGACGTTTCAGGTGCTTTACAGCACCCATGGTCACGAGGAGGACCATGAACAAGACGATATATTTGTAATTTTTGTTGATATTTTATTATTCACCAGCTTTAGTCTCGTAGCTTAATCTACTTATACTTACGTGTCTAAAAAGTCGTTTTATTTTTATATTTAATATTTTACCAGGCTTATAAATAAAAATATATCATTCAGGTTATAGGACAAAAGTGTAAATTTCATATTTATAGATATCATTATAGTAACTACTTAATAGTAGTGGTTGTCCTTCTTTTACTTAGTTACTTCAATTATTTCTGATCTGAACTGTCATCATTCCTTATCAATTTAATAACATTTATTATTCGCACTTTGTTTGCCATTCAATTAATTATCATCTTAATTGTAATGTCTGCTATCTTCTCTAACCACTGTAGCGTAACACAGGCTCGGCACGCACTTTAACTAAACAACACGTCCACTCTCGCGCGAGGCTCTCGTGTAACTGACGCGGTGCGCTCGAGACAGTGACTTATATATAAATGTATGTTTGTGTATTTGTGCATGGTAAATTATTAGTAAATAAAACAAATAACAATATTTACTGTATACTACATATAAGCAAACACTACATCTCTTTCTTATCAAGATTTTTTTTCTTTTTTTTCCATTATAACTCATAACAATTACAAAGCAGCTTGTATTGTCTGTATTAATTATTTTCCACTGCTTTTACGTAAACCTTATCTCCTTGTATTATATCTGAGCGAGTTGCTTTGCGTTTCCTATATATATACTCTTTTCCTTTTCCTTTTTTGTATTTTGTCTCTATCCCTGATATCTGAATCTAAATGATTGTCTGTAATTTATTTTACCTATTGATGGAATTTTATCCCTACTTTTTCGGTGAAAAAACAGTTCAGATGCTAACTTCCCGGTAACTGTAAGGAGGGGTGCTATTATACATTAGAAGATACTCCCATAAACATTTCTTTTAAATCCTTCCTCTCGATCTGGTTGATACGAAGACGTTTCAAAATATCTCTGTTTTGTCTTTCAACTTCGCCGATCATTTGAGGCCAATATAGTACAGTACTAAATAACTTAATGTTACATTCTTTGCAGAAGGATCGAAACTCTTCACTCACGAACTGCTTGCCATTGTCTGCGGTGATAGAAATAGGATAACCAAGTCTACTGAACATTTCTTTTACCATTTTAATAATCTGTAAGCTTGTGATGTTTTTGTAATTGTTTACTTCTTTGTATCGACTATAGTAGTCGACCACTACTAACAGATACTCGTTACTTGGCAATGGTTCCATTAGATCCATTGTGACATCTATCCATGGAGCTGCAGGCAACTCTCGTCTCTTCATTGGTGCAGTTGGGCTTGGCAAACCCACTAACGTACAACCTTTACAGGCCTTAACTAATTGTTCTACGTCTTTATCGATACGGGGCCACCATACCTTTGATCTCCAGCGTCCCTTCATCGCTACGATACCTGGATGACCCTCGTATGCAGCATCTAATACACTCTTGCAGAGTTGCTGTGGTATTACACCTTTTTTCACTTTGTAAATCTCTTGTTCTTTTTCTGAATATGCTACAATGGAACTCATTGGTATAGCAACTGGTCTAGAATTTTCCACTATTTGGTACACATGCTGGTCTTTTCCTTTTGGTGGGTTATCAGGATAGTTACATAATCGTGACAAGGGATCAGCTATATTTGTTTTTTCCTGGCTTGTATATAACCTTGAATGAATAAGACTGTAGCCTCAGTATCCATCGTTCAATCCTCGCACATGGTTTTGACTTACCCGAACAATATCTCTAGCGGCTTGTAGTCAGTGACTAAATCAAAAGGCTTTCCAAATAAAAATATTAAAATGTTCGACCCCCCAAACTAATGCTAGTGCCTTTTTTTCCGTTTGGCTATACCTGCGCTCGCAGTCTGTCAAAGCTCGATTACCATAGGCAATAATTCTAGGGCCATTTGTATCATTTTGTACAAGGACAGCACCAAGTCCGACAGGGCTAGCATCTGCTATCACCTGTCTTGCATCTCTGACGTCATAATACCCTAAAATCTGTATTTCCGTGAGCATCCGTTTGAGTTTTTGGAATGCTTTATCTTGTTTTCCAGACCATTGTTTTTCCAAGCTCTCCCTTTTGCTCATCTTCTGTCTTAACAGGTGCTTCAGAAGTTCTGTCATGGCGGCCAAGTTAGGTATCCATTTGTTTATGTAGTTTAAGAGTCCTAAAAAACTTTGGAGTTCTTCTATGGTCTTTGGGACCCTAAATTTCATAATGCTCTCAACGTACTTGTTGAAGGGTTTACTCCTTCATGTGTAAGCCTGTGTCCCAGAAAATTCACATCCTGCGTTTTATATATGCATTTATTGCTATTCAGCACGGCGTTGTTTTTACTAAGTACCTGTAGAACTTTCTTTAGTCATGCGTCATGTTCTTCTTCACTGTTCCCGAATACCAGGATATCATCAATAAAATTGACGACCCCTTCACAGTTTATCAGCATCCTTTCAATGATCTTCTGAAAAATCTCGGAAGCGCAGGTAATTCCAAGCATTATTCTTTTATATCTATATAATCTTTTGGGGGTTATAAAAGTCGTTATGTGTCTGGATTCAGAGTGAATTTCCACTTGATGGAAGGCATTTTTTTATGTCTTAATTTGTTAAAATATTTAGCTTTCTTCATTTTAGGCAAAAATGGTCCATAGTAGGCAGGGGGTGGTTTTCTTGCAATATAACGGCGTTCGTACATCTCATATCTACGCACAAACGTAATTCACCATTTTCTTTCATGATTGGAACATTGGTGAAACCCATTTAGACGGGCCTTGCACTTCTTCAATTATATCACTGTTTAGTGATTCCTTAATTTTGATTGCAACCTTCTCTTTAAAGGGGATCGGCTTGCTTTTACTCTCCACTTGATTTATCCCGATACCAAGTTTTAAGACACCCAGTCGGACTGCTGTGTTCTTACCAAACAGGTTTCTAGTACCCCCCGAAATCACGTAAATGGTTGTATTCCTTTCGTCCATCGACTTCGAGTATAGTTTCAAATGAACCCTCTATTGCCAAAGGAGAGTTACTACCCTATGCTAATAATGTCTTGTCTGGTCTTTACATTTGATTAAAAGCATATACTTTTTTGCTTTTTAACTCTTCCCACGTTTTGTAAGATATAAGGTTCTTGCACAATTTCGAATTACACTTTTCCACAATTTGATCTATGAAATGATCATCTTGCTTTTCAATGCACACTTTTCGGCTTGTTGACGCAATCTTATCAAAAACTTCTCAAATGTCTCTCCTTTTTCCTGTTTTAGCAATCGAAAAACATGCCGCTCATAAACTTTGCTCCGTTTAGGTTGAAAATACTCGTAGAGTTTTTTTTTTGCTACTTAAAATACATCAACGGTTTCTTTTATCCCAGAGCCACCAAAATGCAATAGCGTAGCTCGTTTCTCCAGTGCTGATATAACTTCAGCTACGTCCAGATAGATTAGTAGAGACCTTTTCCATTTTCGACACCTTATAGCCATAGATGTGCTATCACATTAAAGCTGATAACGGTATCATTATTATTATTATTTTAGGGGCAAACTGAAAGAGTTTCTTATATTTTTTTTTTCCAATTTAATGCTGGTATTTTAATACCCAAAGTCCAATTTAATGGTAGTAACTTAGTACCCAAAGTCCAATTTAATAGTAGTAACTTAGTACACAAAGTCCAATTTAATGGTAGTAACTTAGTACACAAAGTCCAATTTAATGGTGGTACATACCTTAGTACCCAAGCTCCAATTTAATGGTGGTACCTACCTTAGTACCCAAGTTCCAATTTAATGGTGGTATCTTAGTACCCAACTCAATTTAATGATGGTATCTTAGTACCCAACTCAATTTAATGATGGTATCTTAGTACCCAACTCAATTTAATGATGGTATCTTAGTACCCAACTCAATTTAATGATGGTATCTTAGTACCCAACTCAATTTAATGATTGGTATCTTGGTACCCAACTCAATTTAATGATTGGTATCTTGGTACCCAAACTCAGTTTCATGATAATAATATGTTCCATAACACTCGCCCTTCTCTTTTGGTTTATTTGTTATACCGACTACTTCCATCGCTGTGCCATTTAGGCTTTGGGTAAATTCAATACCTATATTGCGCATTTACCATTATTGATAACTTAGACAGCAATACCCTCGAGAAACGCCGTGATATAAGAGATCAAATGTTATTGTACAAATTGCTTCATAATATCATCGACTCTCCCCTACTTTTAGGCAAGGTGAATCTTGCGTGTCACAGGTTAGGTGCACGAAATAAACCACTTTTTGCATTACCTAAAGTTAAAACAAAAAAAAAACCTCAAATAATTTTGTATCTCGTACATGCAAAAAGTTTAACTTAAAATATTGTAAATATTAGATATTTTTCACCTTGAATATGATAGTTACAAATAAAATATTGTAAAACTTAATATATAATTGGTAGTATCACTTTGAGTTGTATATATAATGTTATTTTTAACTACTTACTACTTAATGTTTTAATTTATGAATACCATTTAGCTTGTTTTATTCTTTTATATTTTTAATTTTATACAACATAATATTGTGGTTTGCTTTTATTATGTATTAGATATCTGTGGAAACTTCATTGGTTTTTAGGATTACTTTTATATGTTTTATTATGTAATTTATTATTGCACTGTATGTTTCCCTTAAAAAGCAAATAAATAAATAAACAGTATTACTAGTTACCTACTTTGCAATGTACAGAAGTCGTGAAGTGTCCACGATTTTTTGTAAGACTTATATATGCCATGAAAGCAGTAAAATAGTATTTTCATTAAAGGCGATAAATATCACACCTACATGTTAAACGCCACTAAAATTTAGCTAACGACATTGTATTTCGGTTCGAATCGAGAGGAGTTTTTAGTAACATCTACTATTGTTCCATCAAAAATCTTTTTATATAAAAGTTGTGCTAATAGACATATGTTAAAATAAATCATTATTTTATCATTGCTGCATAAAGAAAATAAATTTTAGCACACCATAAGCGTGGTCAAATGCGAACATATATTTTATATAAATTATTAAAATGATCAGAACAGGGTTAAAAACAATAAATCATAATTCATAATCCATAGTTTTTTTTCCGCGGGTACTCTAGGAATTAATTTACAATTGCAATGCTAATAGTTGCACATTGCTAACCTATTTTTGATTATATCTTTATACTAAATAGGTACTTATCTTTTTCCTCGTCGCCACTTGTAATGTCTGCTATCTTCTCTAACCACTGTAGCGTAACACAGGCTCGGCACGCACTTTAACTAAACAACACGTCCACTCTCGCGCGAGGCTCTCGTGTAACTGACGCGGTGCGCTCGAGACAGTGACTTATATATAAATGTATGTTTGTGTATTTGTGCATGGTAAATTATTAGTAAATAAAACAAATAACAATATTTACTGTATACTACATATAAGCAAACACTACATTAATGAATGAATTATTCAATCGCAATGCATAAAACATATTCAATACTATACAAATAAAATATATGACAAAACAGGTTTATACAATTTGATTTTAATTCCTAACGGCGGCGTAAAGCCGTGTGGTGGCGGCATCGTTTCTTATGTGTCATAATATGTGACAACTATCAGGTGGCTTACCTAGCGGCAGACTGATGCGTAATAGGTTGCTGACCACTAGACGTAGGTACCTCACCATCTCTAAAATATGAGCAAATCTTTCAAGTAGATACTAGATGACAAGGTGGTAAGCGTCTGCGGCGGCTATGTCTTCACGCTGTAAGCGAAACGCCTAAATCGCGCTAAGTTCTAAAGTTATCGAGCTATATACAGAACAGCTCCGAAATAACACACGGAGCGTTGGCACACTCACACTGCCTGAAAGTTTTGATCTCAACAAAGGCAACAAAACATACGCCAATAGTCGTACTCGTAAGTCGAATTCTTCTGTCTCTGCGCATGTTTGTCATTGATTGCCTCCTAAACAGCTGTGCCGATTTTAATTTAAAAAAATTGTGTGGTTGCGTGGGTCTCTGAATGGTTTAGATTCAAAATTGGACCCGGTAGGGAGCACTGTTGTTGAGATGTAGAAATCACCCGTGCGAAGCTGGGGCGGATCACTAGTAACATATAAATATTATCGAGTTTAAGAAAAACTAGGAAAATGCCTACTAGGTGTTAAGAGGATTGTGTAAGTCCGTAAGTCTTATAAAAAGGATTTACAATTGTTTCAGAGACTGACACCACAAACAGAAGTGTTTAACCTGTACGGTATGAGTGAACTCACGAGTATAGGTTTCATCCCTGATGTTTCCCCAACGGAATCCTGTGGTAAACCGCTGGGCTGTTTTCGTTATCGCGTAAGTAAGACCACTATTAAGAAAATAAATCAATGTATACAACAATATACAAACCTATCTTAATTATACCACAGAATAAATAATACAAGAAATATTACTCTATTATTATGGATCCTAGTTGTCCGAAATAAACAAGGTTTTTTTTATTTATAATTTGTCGGTATAATGCCTAAATAGCACGCGTTCACCAGTAAAAAAGTTAAAGATGACAAAAGTATTATCTCAGATCTCTCGTAAGTGGCACAAAGCCATAAAAATCTAAACTTAATCATTCGTCGTTAAAAGCCGTCTCGACTACCTCCAATTAGGTATTTTAAACTTAGGCGGTTCATAAATTTCAAGACGAAAGCGGCTGCAAGGAAACATGGATTTCTAGAGAAAAAGAACCGGTACTTTACTCCGGAGCAGCTACCGACCCCGTACAAAGCACAAATCCATCGTCTAAATAAATGTTAATAATTGCTGCAGATAAATCCTGTCACATAATTTTTTACCTATTATAAAGCTAGGGTTTGATTACTATCATGCCTTAAGATAGAGACGATGTAGCCGAAGATGATAAAGCCTTGAAAACACCTACTTTGTTTTTTTTTTTTTTACTTAGAATGACTGACGCTAGCAAATGATTCTACTCCATTAGTGTACGCCAATACGTACGGAGCTTTGCTGATGCGACTTTGCCCACCTCTATATTAGTTCACGCTACGCCTCTGAATTAAAATGTAATTACATCCTCCATCCAACTCCTAACCTCCTTAACAATTGTACAGTTATGTCATATAGCGTCGACGTAAATTGACAAACGAATAGTTTGATGTAAAACAGGATTTTACATACACATCGTACAAAGCAAAACGGATTGTTACAGTGAATGAAACATTTCTTGAAAATTCGAGCATACGCCATGCACGCAGTCGTTATACGTTAACAAAATAGGATTTAACATAATATCTATCTGCATAATCTCTACCAAACTTGACCACCTTTTATTTTCCAGTTAATAGACCCGGATACCCAGAAAGATGTTTTGAAACCGAACGTACCTGGAGAACTGTGGATGAAAGGACCTGGTATTTTTAAAGTAAGTAAACCTAGTGCATAAGTTGTTTAATTATGAAATCATTCATCATGTCATTAGCTCGTAGCAAGCAAAATGTTGGACGTAAATTTTATACGTGGTAGAGCACATAGCATCGTATTATAGCTGAAGCCTGCATAAGGCCAACCTGCCTACCAAACGTAGCAGTTATGGAAAATAAATCAATCTACGCAGTTACCAGTAAAATAGTTTGAAAGAATCGTTTTATTTTCTAGTTATCAGGAAGACGATGCTGCTCATTTTCTGGTTTGTTTTCCTCTGTCAAATCTTAGTGAATGTTCTTACACCGCGACTACAATGTTGCCCTCGTCCATTGTATTTTTTTTTAAACGTTACCCCCACACTAGGATTTTCTCCTGTATCTTGGAGGCAGTTTAAAAACACAAATTGCACAAGGACAAACATCCAGACCCGGAACAATTATTTGTAGGCCATACAAATACTTTTTCCGTGCGGGATTCGAACCCGCGCCCCCCAGCGCAAGCAACCCATTGCTAAGCCACTACGCCACGGAGCCGTCAATTGTAGGAACCATTTGCCTTGATGTTTGGCAGGCACGTATATCACTTTCAACGCTGCTCCTGTTCGCCGGTCTATCGGATATTTCATGTTTGGTGGACACTCACTTGACGAAATGAAGTGAATAATTCTCGTAGCCGCCATACAATAAACAGCTATTATGGCAAATTCTCTCTACTATTAGAGAGGCGGACTCTCGCTACGAAACCATCTCAGAATTGAAAGAGAACTTGTACCCAGTACCTATAATACCTATCTATAATAGTCTGTAACTAATATTCTTTAACAATATGAGAAAATAGAAATTAGTTGTATTAGAAAGTTTACAGTAAAATAAAACTCATGTTCTGCACTAAAAATATAACACTACGTTAAAAACAATTATAGGAGTATTACAGAAATGCCGAGGCCACAGAAGAAACCTTCGCCGAGGATCGATGGTTTAAGACAGGGGACATGTTTTACAGAGACGAACACTGCAATTACTTCTACGTAGAACGGATTAAATTATTACTGAAATACAAAAGTTATCAGGCAAGTTATCGAATTTAAAAATTCAATTAGATTAATTAAAACAAAATTCTTTGATTTAGATTATGCGATTAGAATGTACAATGTTACGTCAATAAGTCAATTGTTGAAGGATTTCCAAAAATGCGTCAGCTACTAAGCAATATGTATAGTTCTTTGTTACACAATATCATTTAATTTAGAAGTTAGTTTTAAATAAAAGTTTATCAGTTTCTAGAGTATTATATTAATACACAAATCCTCGCCTCAGTAATTTGCTCTTTAAATTTTTGCACATTTTTAACTCTTTTTTAGGGTTCCGTACCTCAAAAGGAAAAAACGGAACCCTTATAGGATCTGTCTGTCTATCAAGACCCTTTTTCTCAGGAACGCGTGGAGGTATAAAGCTGAAATTCATATCAAATACTCAAGTCTACTGTCCCTTGGAGCTGTCAAACAAATCAAACTTCTAAGCTAACGCAATCAAAAGAAGGAATCAAAACCTATAGGGTACTTCCCGGGACTTCAGAATCTTAAAATTTGGTACGAAGCAACGTATTATGGCACAGATAAAGGAAAAATTGCGAAAAGCATAAATTTTTAGTTACATCATATAATAAAAATATTTTAATAATTTTAAACTTATACAGGTTGTTTTTGGAACGCTCCCGAAAACTAAGACAGGCGACAGCACCAAGTATACCTTTGATCATGGGTCACAAATAAATTTGATCCTGATGAAAGAAAAATCATATTTTTACAACGTTTTATTAGCTTTATTCACGCGCCATCATGTTAGTACAGGTAAATGAAACGATAATTTCATTAAAAAAAATCATGAAAATACTGAAACATAAAACCAGCAGTGGAAACTGAATTGATATCACCTGACTAATGGAGGTTAATGTACGAGCGAACGGTGAAAAAGGAACGCTGGCCTTGAACTTGGGCACTGAGCGATTTATGACATATTGGTACGAAGGGGGCGCGACGGGGGAACAATCCGCCAGTATTACTGTGCCTGCATGCTATTGGTTCCCGCGCTTTGTTCGCTCCAAAAATACAGTCGCATACACAGCTTACTTTGTGACTCGCGACGATGTTTGAAGGAAATAAAAATTATTTATATCTATTGTTTTATGACTGAACTAGTGAACGAAAAGGTAAATATGATAGGAGAAGGTGAATGGGGAAAATTGTGCAATAAAGTTAAAAGTGTTGAGGAAGAATACCGAAAAACTTACCATGTGATCGACCTGATGACGGAAGCTCAAGCGAAGATGAAAGTGATGATGAAGTAGCATCCAGTAACACCAACACACCATCAACATCTGGCTTCCATGTGACCCAAGACGACATAATGGACAGCGTGTCACCCTTAGCTTAAGTTTTCTTGTTACAGACTACTTTATATTTTACGATAGAATTAACAAATAATGCTCAAGTAAACATTATCCATTTTTAATTCCAACCTTTTCCAAAGTTCTAAGTAGCTAGTAAAGCACCTATTATGATTCTACAATAAAACAATTAATTACTATAATATTATAAAACAATATCCCAATACCATGTAGTACTTTAGAACGCGACTGTAACTACACTGTCGACCTGTATCTAGCTCGGTGCGAAACAATGCTGCCGTCATAAGAAAAAAGGTCGCATCTAACAATTTTTGAATAAATGAGTTAAATATACCATTCGACTCAGGATAAAAAGGCGCATCTACTAAATTTTTTAATATTCAAAAATATCAATATTTTAGAAAATATCGTAAGAATTTTAGACGTAACTGTTGATCACAGATGACATTTTTTTAGTAGAAAAGACTTATACAAATTATGGAGTGTAGAGTACTAGGAGAACCATCTTATAAGGGGCGAAAGTTGAAAAAGTGTCCTACTATTTACTGAAAATAGAGGTTCCAAAACCTACCACAATAGCGCTGGGGTTTGAAAAACTACGATATGAAGATAGCTGTTATGGACGGAGTGAAGTCAGCTGAATTCAAATATTTAAAAAATTTCATGACTAGAGTAGTTAGTAAAATGCCAGTACACAAAATCTCAACTATTTACGTAGTACAAAACCAAGCGGATTAATCGGGCCTTGTTTATTTCTCCATCTTACTCTAATTACTTTTGGCGCTTTTTTTAAATTTATCCTATACTACTGCAGCGCCACCCTTATTCGACACGTTTTTAGGGACACTTTTCATAGTATAGAGATGGTCCTTCTTCTCTCTACACTCCACAATACAAATTCGACATAAAAGAAAAGACTTATTTAACCAGTTGCTACGTCATCTTTAACAATATTTGCATCGATTACTTACATTTCGATTATTCTTGTCTTATTATTCTATATCTTATTATTAAGAGCTTATATCTTATTATTAAGAGCTGGTGTTTCACATGTCGTCCCATATAAATTTGATCGAGCTCAGACCAATAGTTTTTGAGTTATCCTTAATTATTTATATTGAAGTCGGTTGTAAAAATTTTTAATTTTTAATTATTATCGTAGTAAATCTGGTATGATATCCCCTTTAAAATCATAACTCAAGAGTTGCGGGTTGTTATTTTATGTGTCTCACTACCAATGCTTTTCTAATATTTACTAATAATAAAAAAAGTAGTAAATTACTATTACTTAGCGTCCTTTCAAAAAAAAATCATCTATTTATTTTTTATTTCGATTTTACGTTTTTGTTAGTTGCGTCCTTCTTTATTATGACGGCAGAATGCCTAACCCTGTCACCTCACGCTTGTGACGCAGTAGGTTTCAGCCTTGGCGGGGTTCGTTCGTTTTAGTTTTTGAGACAGTTCCGTGTTGATTTTGTACACGCGTGCGCGAGCGACAGTTCAATCGTTTTGTTTAATAAATTTACTTGTGATTACGTGTTGATATTATTGTTGTTGTTACGTTTTTGGATTCTTTTTTGTTTTAATAATGCCTAACGCGTACGTTTATAGTGCTCAACATGTTAGGTATCCGAACCTAGGTACACGAAGTATCGCTAAATAAATTGTTAAGACGTCGGGATGGAACAAGTGTGTCATACTTTGCAGTGCACAAAGTGTTGAAGCGTAACCGGATGCGCCCATACAAATTGCACAAAGTGCAAGCTTTAGTTCCCGGCGATCACGACCGCCGACGAGTTTTCTGTCGTTGGTTATTAAACTAGCAACAACGTGTGCCTGGTTCCATTGAGCACATTATCTGGACGGATGAGTCGACATTTACCAGAAACGGCCTGTGGAACCGAAGAAATACACACGTGTATTCAGAGGTTAACCCGCACGCTGTTCGACAAACCGGGCACCAAACCCGATGGTCGGTTAACGTATGGGCAGGTATTAAGGATCGCATACTGGGACCAGTGTTTCTGCCACAGCGACTGAACGGACAGCGATACCTAAACTTTATAAGTGAACAGTTGGTTGACATTTTAGACGACCTATCGTTGGCTGAGTATCGCCGACCATGGTTCCAGCATGATGGTGCACCTCCACATGTCGTGAGGTTCGTCTGTGAGCGCCTCACCGAATTATTTGATGATCGCTGGATTTGGCGGACTAGGACCACTCGGTTGGCCACCTCGCTCGCCAGATCTGACCCCGTTAGACTTCTTTCTGTGGGGGTATGTGAAAGAAAGGGTTTTTAATCGTGAGTGTGATAGTGCTGACGAAACTACAAAAGGATCGTGGATGTTTTCGACAAACTACATACGGACTGTGTCGAAGACTACACGATGATGCCCCGCCTGCATGAGGAGATGAAACACCGAGCCCAAATCTGCCTTGAAATGAATGGAGCACAATTTGAGCCGCATCTCATAAGACCACGGAGGATTTAGAGCGGTAAGCTGTTTCATAAGTATTTTTTTAAATAACTTAGTACTGGACTAATCTGAATAGGTACATAACTGAATACATGAGAATAATAAACATACCTACACGATGAATAAAAACGCATGACTCCAATCTTGGTTACATTTCATTAATTTAAGTATTTTTTCATTAGCGGGGAATCGAACCAGTTATTTGGGTTATTTAACCTGTAAATTCGGATTAAAGTGGCTACGTGGAGATAAGCACAGTGGCAAAATAGTAGGTTAAGTAGATAAGTTAGGTATTTAGACACGTGTTGTAAATTATTATATTGTGGGATGGCCCGCTAGTTGCGGGCCGCGCGAATTTGTGTTCGCGTGACCTTTATCTAGCTCAGGTCAGGTGATATCAATTCAGTCATTCCACTGCTGGTTTTATGTTTCAGTATTTTCATGATATTTTTATGAAATTATCGTTTCATTTAGCTGTAGGTACTAACATGATGGCGCGTGAATAAAGCTAATAAAACGTTGTAAAAAGATGATTTTTTTTTCATCAGGATCGAATTTATGTGTTACCCATGATCAAAGGTATACTTGGTGCTGTCGCCTGTCTTAGTTTTCGGGAGCGTTCCAAAAATACCCTGTATATCTACGGATTTGTGCGGAACCCTCGGTGCGCGAGTCCGACTCGCACTTGGCCGGTTTTTTCTACTTTTATGAATGTCTGTAGTTTGGTTATTTCTTTTGAATCTAATTATTAACAAAACATTATTAATAGTACAAAAAGAAACATTAACCTTTACATTTTTCGAACAAATTAATTTATCCGCTATAATATCTGTAAAATATTACACCACATTTTAAGTGCCGCCGCCTTGGTGGCAGAAAAAGTTACGGAAGCCATCATTGCGATTAATTGCTGCCAAGTAGCTTGCCAATGGCTATGGTGCCTTCTAAACTATAATACTGCTGTCATAAATAAAAACGGCGTATCTATCTAATACTAGTAGTATTACATTTTTTTTATTTTAGTTATTATCTGGCAGATGCTGTTGTCTATTTCTGTACAATTTGATGAAACACGCAGTTATTTTTTTACTTGGTAGAGCCATGCTGCAGCTATATTAGTAGTATAGTTGTACCACGAATGGGTCGACTCAACCGGGGAAGGGCCACGCTCTCACAGAATACCAGCGTAAAATGGCAGCTTGACACTGCTGTGTTTCGTATGGTGAGTGTAGAGAACCGGAGACCCATTTTACTGGAAAAGATGCATTCCATCTTAGTCCTCACGGGCGACGACGCATCTGCATTTTGATTCTTTACTGAGGATAGATGTAGATTTCTATGGGCCGCAGCAACCACTTACCATCAGGTGGATTGTGTACTCGTTTGTCACCTTATCCTATAAAAAAATATATTAACCTAACGTGAACGTTTAACTTAAAAGTATTAAGAATTTCGTGTTATGATTTAGATATCACCCGTAGAAGTTGAGAACGTCATAAGGCAACATCCAGGTGTATTGGACGTGGCTGTAACTAGTGTACCTGATGAAGAATGCGGCGACTTGCCAGTTGCGTGTGTTGTAACACGACCAGGACATACTGTCACAGCTCATGAAATTAAGGACTTGGTTAAAAGTAAGTTAATCTGTATGAATCAAGAGGCATTCATTGTCTTCTAAAATTTCTAGTTCATCAACGTCAAAAACATAATATACGTTTACTCTGTTTTATATTTAAGATAAAGTGCAGGCAAAGCACCCATGGTCACGGGGGTACTTAGGCGTTTGACGTCCCGATGTCATAATTAGCCCGGTTAAGTTCAGATTTTCAATATTAATTTTTGGTCCGATCTACGCAAAACGAGCTTACAGTATCTTGAAGTTTTGCAGGGGTATACTTGGCTTTGGATTTAATTTTATTAATTATAAATGCAGATGATAGCATCCATCCATCTTCTCTATTGAAATAAGGATGGTTTTTTTTTCAATAGTCTCGCGTATTATCCTTCGTAGATATCTGTTCTTTTGTGAGAACCTTCACAGCCTGCAGACTTCCCGGAGCGTTGGCGAGCGTCGTCAGTCCCCTCCGTGGCCATGGGTGCTGTAAAGCACCCGAAACGTCGGGAATTAAGAAGTTATAATTAAACGTGATAAAATCCGTAAAATTAGATTCATTCAATTCTAAATTTCTATTTCATACAATAATTAAATTAAATGGCTGTCTAAATTACATCATTTTCAGATTCCCTATCTGATTCGAAACAATTAAGAGGCGGCGTAATATTTGTCGACGAAATCCCTGTGACAGCGTCTACTAAAGTTCACAGAAGAAAACTCAAGGAAATAGCTCGTACCATGGACAAAGAATAAAGTACAGTTCAGTTTCGTACATGTCACCAACCTTGAAGGCTATCCAGCTTGAAGAAAAAACTATATTATGTATACACTGGCTTGAAGGACCAAAATACTTAACACACCAATTTCACCTAATTTCTTAATAAAAGCACATATCTGCAAAATTATATATGAGAACCCAAAAAGTATTCAATTATTCAATTATAACCATTATAAAATAACTATTCAATCACGCATAGGTAGGTAGGTAGTTAATATAGAGGTATATGTATGAGGTGTCTATCTAACACTATAACAATAACAATAAAAGTTATGGTCAAGTTACTACTTACCTAGGGGTCTTTGGGACAATTTAAAAATTATATTTATTTTTGTTTTATTATTTTTACATGTATTATATGGTTTACTGTACAAACAGTACAGGAAACCATATATCGTCGGTCGAAAACAGTAGTGGAACATTTCAAAATGAGTAAATGTGAGATATCGAGCAATAAAAAATTTGAAATTCTAATTTTTCCATTTAGCAAGTGTTAAGAGAAAAAAGGATTGTTTTTAATGTTGTTATATTTTGGTTAGACTTTACATTTATGATTTCTATTAAATTCATTGATTTTTTATTATTTGTTTTTTAATTATAAGTAAATATTTGAAATGTTCCACTACTGAATTAATTTATCGAATGCAAATATCCCTCTGATAATGGATTATTTTTGAATGTACCAGTACTGAATTAAAAAACTTTGTATTTTTCTTAAATAATGTCCTAAATAAAAATGAAATCTAGAGAACCTTAGCAAATAATTGCATTTTTAGAGAATAATTAATAAAACACTTTTATAGTTTTATAACATTTTTTTATTTATAAGAAAGAAAATATAAAAAATGGAACAATTAGTCATCGTCAGCTCTATCTGAGGACGCTGGCAATGTTTTATAATAATCCCAATAAACGCTTGGAATTACGTTACCATCACATAATGAAATCAAATCTTTCTTTTTAAGATTTGATATTCCAGGACGAGTGCGATATTTATTTGTCAAAACTAATGTTTCGTTAGGCTTGCCCCGCATTTTATGCCGAACATTGAAGCATTTCATTGTACTGTCAGGTTTATAAGTATCCAAGTAATAAATAGCGAAAGGATTAGTAGCTTGCATAAATATTTTCTTGATATCATTCCACACTACACGCTCTCCTTCTGTATTTATTGTAAAATTTTTCCCAAAGTGTGCAATTAGTTCTTTTAAATCAAAAATGTCTGAATAATTTAAATCATGAACTTGGTAGGGATTACCTTTCTTCTTAGCACATTGTATAATTGTCCTCCATTGAGATGGCACGAACACGGAACCATTTTTTAATATTCGGGATTTTTCTCTTTCAATAGTGGCATGAACGCTATCGCCTTCGTTCTGAGTGTGCCCGACAACAAAGTATTTGTGTGTTATAGATTTCACACCCAACATTTTTAAGGCATAATAGTATAATGACAATAAATACTTATTCTTATTTTGTGCTGAGCAATTGTCGGTATAAAATATGACATGTTTTCCATGACAAAACTCTTTGAAAAACTGTAAAATACAAGATCCTACCTCGTCACATCCTTTTCCACCCAAAGTTTCGTCCCATAAATAACAATGTCCAGATTTATTAACGATGTCATATACGGTACAATTATAAACATTAAGGCGTCTCTTATAAAAAAATAGCGAGTCATTACCCGCTGGAGTTTGGAGAACCGCTTGCAAGTCATAACAACAAATAATCTTTTGTTTGTCATTTTTGCATGTTTCTATATCTATCCTCTTCTCTTCTCTGCAAAGCTCTTTTTCTGTAAGATGATCTTTATAACTCTTTTCCATTTCTTGTTTCTGTTCTGTTGTTGCATTATTATAAGAACAGCAAAGAGAGCACTGATCCTTCTTTGGTACATGAAAAGCTATATTAAATTCAGTTCTAAAAATGTTTTCATACGTTCCTTGTTTAGCTTCAGGCTTACCTTCTTTATTACACCACTCTTTGTATTGCCTGTACATCATACATAGATTTAAATCACCATCAAAATATTGTTTATTTGATGATGCTCGACAGTAGTGCGATTCCTTAGTAGGATATGAGTTAATGTGTTCACGTACTCCATCCTTAACAAAGTCAGGTAATAGTTTACCTTTCTTGTTATGCTTACCTCTTAAATCTTCTAAAACTATACCCGATGATGTTGTTTTCTTACATACCGTCGTTATAAATGAGTGCCCTATATCCAAAGTGTGCATAAAGAACTTTTTACATACCCTTATAATTATACCATCTACTGTTAAATGATAAGCCGCATTAATAGATCTTTTACTCTGAGCATTATGTAGCGAATATTTCGGCTTTACTTCTTTCATAGCATTTTTGACAAAATCTCGCTGTCTATTCAAATCACCTAATATCCAAAAATTATTGAATATTACTAATCTTTGCTGCTCATTAATCATCAGTGTACACTTCAAGCGACATTTGTCTCCACAACCAGGTTTTAATTGTTTAGCATTAACTAATTTTCCTTTCTCAGTAGTGTAAGCCATACCTGAATTTTTCAAACATTTCTTTTTATTTTTCTTCCATGCCTCGGAATTTCGTTGTCTCTTTCTTGTCAACTTCTTCTTTTCTTCCGAAGCATTATTTTTAGAAAGCGGGGTTGATGGTGACGGCTCTCTGTTATTTAGTATATTATTTTCTTTATCTTCTCCTCCCCGTAAAATTTCAATAAGCTCGCCACCTAAGCAAACGAAGACCTCGTATAAAGCTATTGCGTAAATAATTTAGAACTATGAAAAACATGTTGATGGGCAGCAAGCTAATTTATTAAAATGGTATAAAAAATCATACTTAGATTAGAAGCTTCATTTGCTGGCTCATGCTGGCTGGCTACGAACCTATAGTCTGTACAACTTTCCATATTTATTGCCTGATCAACACCTTAAAAGAAATTCAAACAGTTAAATATACACACTATACCAAAACACAAAAATAATATACGCAGATAGGTTACGTAGGTACCTCTATTATGTACTTAAATACATGAAGATAGGTACGTACCTCGATTATGTACTTCATTCAGGGGCAAAGTATTCTCTTCAACGTATTGCTGTATCTCACCAACTTCATTATTATTAGATATAAAAATAGTGCCTGTAGATTTTTCTATGTTCAATATCTGTTCAGCATCTTAAAAGCAATAAAAACAGTTAATAGGACAGAATGTTTAATAACATGTATTAGATATAAAACACAAAAGTTAATAAATAAGCATATCTTATAAAACACGTAAGTTATTTACCTAGACTTTGTTCTTCATTTTGTGGCAAAGAATACTCTTCAACTTGCTTTATATCACTTTCTGTAGAATAAAAGTGGTTAAAATATAGCCAAAGCGTGCAAAATTTTAAAAGTAACGACTCCTTACTAAATACACAAACGTTACAAATAGAATACACACCTTTGTTTTCAATATTGGCGTCTTCATGGATTACCATTTGCAACATTTTCATTGATCTTCCATATAACTTAGACACAGACATTTTTGCAGATTGTATTACTTTTGACAATATGTCTACCAAGCGCAGCATGCAGCGCGTAACTAAACAAATGCGCGCGAGACTCAAGCGAGATCGAGAAGCGTGGTGGAATAAATTTAATTCAACTTTTGATTTTGAGTGCCGTATTGGAACATTTCGAAGTGTCTCAATACTGAATAATATTATATGCATAGAGTAGAAGTGGAACTTTTATTTTTAATCGACTTCTACGTGGAGTTTGACTTATTCCGATAGTGATATAGAATTGGCACTGAAATAGTAATGTAACACTCATAAAAAGTTAAAAACCAATTTTCAGAGATGTTCCACTAATGTTTTCGACCGACGATATACACTTTTTTATATTTCATTTGACACAAAATTTGGCACCGATTATTCTTTACATAACCCTGAGTTTGAACACGGGCCGAGCCGGTATTATAAAGCAGTATCTCTCTGTACGTGACGAGCCGCCTGTGCTCACGCACACACGCGCATCACGCTTGTAGTAGTGTAACTATCATAGGGCGGTTTGAAGCTTTGCCTCTGTATGGTACGGTTTCTTTACTCATGTGATATTAGCAAGTATACTACTTACGGAACACTTGTGTAGGATAAATTTAAGTTTAAGGGAAAATAAAATATCTCTACGTTTTGTTTTATTTATTCATAACATTCTCACAATATGGCTTTATCGTACACCACACTTTTTAAAGATTCTCATATACGTTTCGCAAAATACAACAATTTAACTATAATATTTCAAACGGCGATAAATTAATTCTATACAAAACAATTCATCTTTATTGTCAATTGTCAATAGAACAAGTCAACAATTTAGGAGAGATTATCCATTGTGAAATTGCGCGCTGCAATTAAATTCACATGTTTCAATGTGTAAAAGTAAACACTTTTTATATCGATGCATTAATTTGTGTAGGTGCGATGGCTATACTGTCAACTTTAGGATTGTATACGTTCTTTCGAAATATGACAGTCAACTTACAGTTAACGTACAGTTAACGATTGTGTTCCCAAGTGATTCCACAAGAAATCCGTTTAATATTTCTCCCAATTTTCATAGCGTCCAGGTGCTTACTAAAAGGCGTAACGCGTATGTGCGTCGAATGAGTGCGCAATTTCAAGTCTATCTTGAAAGTAATACTAAATAAATAAAATCAATGAATATCATTATCATATCGTTTTATTTTAAGTAAAGTTTTACTCCTATGTCAAATCTTTATAACAGTGCTATAATTTGACAAATTTACTGATCCACGAAGAGTTTTCTTTTGGAGATTCTGTAAATTAATATATCTTTCAGTTAATTGTGTGTATTAATTATAATTTAATATGGCGTAAGATAATCCATCACAACAAATTAAAATATAACTCATTTAATATTCTTTTATATTTTTACAGTGAGATGAGTGTAAACTATAAAA